AAGAGCATGCCCTTTTTAGAGAGACCCACATCCGGTGACTGACTGAGTGGAGCATCTTCAAACAACTTGAATGGACCATGGTAGCTACAGAGCTCCCCATGGGATTCCCCTGAGGCTGGCATCACAGTTTGACTTCTCCCTCTGCTGAACACTGTTTCTTTCCCATCCTTTCACAAATGTAGATCCTGATGGTTCTCTCTAATAAACTTTCTGCCCAAGAAACTGTCTCAGAATCCATTTCCAATATACTCCTTCTCCAGAGGTTGGCTTAGATGTCACTTCCTGAAGGAAGCTGTGCATTAGTTTCCTAGGGCTGCCAAAAAAAAAAAAACATACCCACAAACTTGGTAACTTATAACAACAGAAATTTTATTATCTCACACTTATGGAAGCTAGAAATCGGAAATCAGGGTGTCAGCAGGATCATATTGTCTCTGAATGCTCTAGGGGAAGATCATTTCCTGCCTGTCGTAGCTTCTGGTGTTACCAGAAATCCTTGGTGTCCCTTAGCCTGGAGATGCATCACTCCAATCTCTGCCTCCATCTTCAAAATGGCTTTTCCCCTGTGTTCATGTCTCTATGTCCAAGTTTTTCTCTTCTTGTAAGGACACTTTTCATATTGAACTTAGGGCCCACGCAACCCAATAAGACATCATATGAACTCAATTATACTTGCAGAGACCCTTATATTAGTCTGTTCTCACACTGCTGATGAAGACATACCTGAGCCTGGGTAATTTATAAAGAGACAGAAGTTTAATGATCTCACAGTTCCACGTGGCTAGGGAGGCTTCACAATCATGGCGGAAGGTGAAAACTACGTCTCACATGGCAGCAGACAAGAGAGAATGAGAGTCAAGCAAAGGGGAAACCCCTTATGAAATCATCAGATCTTGCATGATTTATTCACTACCACGAGAACAATATAGGGGAAACCACACCCATGATTCAATTGTCTCTCACAGGGTCCCTCAAAAACACATGGGAATTATGGGAGCTACAATTCAAGATGAGATTTGGATGGGAATACAGCCAAACCATATCAACCCTATTTCTAAATAAAGTTACATTCACAGGTTTCAGAGGTTAAGACTTCAACATATCTTTTTGAGAGGCACACTTCAAACCGTGAACTATATGACTGAGGACATATTTAGATGTAAGTAAGATAAGTTATAGTAGATATCTGTCATTCTTTTCAGTGATTAAATATCTTTAAACATTTTTCTGGTATTTAGGGATTTTCTTAAATCTCAGCATAAAAGTCCAACATCTGTTTTCCCAGCCTCCTTTACAGTAAGGATAAAGGCACTTAACTTCCATTATCAGAAGCATTTCTGCCAAACACCGAGTTCAAAGTTAGTGGTGCCAAAACAGAATACACTGTGAAGAATGTATTTTGGGAAGAAAGGTGACAGTGACATCTAATTTCCAGGTACAGGGGTGTTTGAGTTCAGGTACTATCATCTACAAACTCATAATGTTTGTACTCAAGAGTGGTGGCCCAGTTGTCGTCACCAGACCAGTTATGTTGTGTGAGTTTGGGTAATAGTATTGGATAAGTAGTTTCTAAGCAGGGCTCTCTGGCCAGCCCGAAAATTCAGTAAGGTTAATATACTTTCAAAGTGCCTTCTTAAAATAGTCAGAGTTGGTATTTATTATATGCAGCTGAACCCATAACTTATACAGAAATCTATCTCGGGTTAGTTACTTAAAGGAAGAAATGAGGATGAAGTAAGTAATTGTATTAGTTTGAACCTCTTTAAGGATGTAGAGGTACAGTTAGAATCCGGGACTCAAATGCTATTAGGACTTCCTATCGACTTCAGCTCATCACATCTCTGCTTTTCTCTGTGTGACAAATTTTTTCTTTCAGGCTGATTGTGCTCACTGGAACCAGGATCAGCAGCAGCCCCTATTCTCTCATCCTGGTTTTTGAGAGAACAGAGGAAAGGACTTCTCTTTGCCAGTTACAGTTTTAAAAATCCAGACAAAATCCTTTGATTAGCGATCTTGAGTCAAAATGCTCACTCCATGGATGAATTAGTATCATCAGGAAATTGAGTTACTATGAGTTAATTCTGTCTGCTGTGGCCAGAGAAGCAAGTTGTTGAAATCTCTTTAAGAATACCTACCAGAGCAGAGAGTAGAAAGAAATGAGCAGGCTCCCCCTAAGCAGAAAGGTTTGGGGGTGGAAAGAGAGTGGGTGGCATAAATATGGCCACAGGAAAAGCAATCACTGTGAGCCTGGAAACTACCTCAATTTGTGTCCACTGTGAATGCTTTCTTTCCTTTCTTTTTCTTTTTTTTTTTTTTTTTTTTTTAAGACTGAGTCTTGCTCTGTAGCCCAGGCTGGAGTGCAGTGGCACAATCTCATCTTGTCTCACTGCAGCCTCGGCCTCCTGGGTTCAAGCGACTCTTGTGCCTCAGCCTCCAGAGAAGCTGGGATTACAGGCATGGCCCACCACACCCAGTTAATTTTTGTATTTTTAGTAGAGGTGGGGTTTCCCCATGTTGGCCAAGTTGGTCTCGAACTCCTGGCCTCAAGTGATCCGCCCACCTCAGCCTCTCAAAGTGCTGGGATGACAGGTGTGAGCCACTATGCCCGGTCACTGTGAATGTTGTCTGTGCTTACAGATAAAGTTTTATCTATGCCTACAAATAGTACCAAGTACTAAGTCTTTAGAACTTAAAATAAAATAATTAAATAGATCTTATATGCATGAATTTGAATATAGGCTTCATGTATGCACAAATCCTTCTGCTACACACTGCTATATTCTCAATGTCTTAGGGACATAGCAAATAGAATATGGAGATATTGGCATTTATTATTAAATAGCCAAATAATTAAGTAACTATCTGATTCAATGAATGAATCTAAACCAGATATTAGAGTAACCAAGGGGCAGCACATGTTAAAAAAAAAAAAAAAAAAAAAAAAAAAAAAAAAAAAAAAAAAAGGTTTGTGCCTCTTTACCCAATATACTTCATATTTTATTTGGTTTCATATTGAGACAATATAATGATAACATTACAAGATTAAAGTAATTCTACTCTTTACTAGATTTAAACAAGTTATTTAAGTTCTGTATGATCAGAATTCCTCATCTATTCAAAGAAGATAATATTAGGACTAATGTCATAAGAGCCTTGCAACAACTGTGACATTAAGTGGAATATAGGTTTCACTCCACCAAAGCTTACTTCTGTTATTCTATCCATCAGATCCAAGTGACTCCTAAACCACCTTACTACCATGATCACATCCATATGCCTCTGCCTGCTTTGACTCTCTATCCCAATGCTGTTGCTTTGTTCCAGTATATCTATAGTCTCTTGAAAAACACTTAGTCTCTTCTTAAAAAAAAAAAAAAGGAAAGTAGATCTTCCAAAATAAAGACAAGAAACAAAAGAAATTTTTCTCTAACTCCATCTAACCTTGAGGTTGGAAGTGGAAAACAATGAAATGATTTCTTAAAAAAATAACAGAGTGTTTTGTCTTTTTAGTGTCATTTCCTTCCTTCCAGCTTCTTTGTAGGTCCCACTGAATCTCAGGTGCAGCTCTTTACAGCAGAAGGTAGAAGAAAGACCACTGGAAATTAGAGTAAGTTAAAGTGAGAAAAAATATAGGCATAGTCCTCCACTTCTCTATTAAAACAGTCAGATACATTCTCAAAAAAAAAAAAAAAATGGAATCCCCAAAATATCTCCATGACAGACAGATTTACAGATATAGTTAGTCTATGTATAATCATTATTTATTATTATGTATGATAATCAGAGTACAGCTCTTGTCAAGCTAATATGTCCTCACTCCTAGAGGAAGAACTAACAATAAATAGAGGTTGACTATTAGTCTCAGATTTGAAGATATGATCAATGTAAAGCAACCAGTGAGCTTTCTTAGGCCTAAACTCATTGATCCCTGGAAGATCCATTTTTTTCTCCTTACTGATTTAAGGAAAGAAAACAAAACCAATAAACAACAACCAAAAAAGGTCAAAAACAAAAGCAAAAGACCCTAGAATTCCTGCCCAAAATTTTCCTGTTTTTCTCTGAAAAGGAACAGTTTGGGTGAACCTAAGTATATTTAGACAAGAAATAAACATACAGGAAATGTGTAATTAGTTTGTGATTTTATAATTAGTGTGTTCATGATATTTTCCCTCGTAGGATACACAAATAATAGAGACTTAAAGGGCTAGAAATTTGTTTGAGTTCTTTTTGAAATGTTATTTTAGGAATCTAAAAAGGACTTTAGGGTTCATCTAAAAGTTGTACCATCTGTTCTTATTATGATTTCTCTCCACTAAAGACTATATTGTTTTATGTAAAAGTACGATCTTGTCAGAGAATGAGTTATAAAATGTTAATTTCTGATCTAGCTATCATTTTATTATGTAATTCTATCTTTAAGGCAAATATATAATGAACAAATTACTTCACAAAATGAAAAGCTTGCCTTATCAAATTACTATTTTATGGGCATTAAAAAGAAAAGCAGATTACATTTGTTTTGCTGAATATTTTTTAAGAGAGATAATAATTCTGTAAACTTCTTGGGAAAGATGAAAAACACTCTTATCCACACATCATCTGAAGATGTACTTACTTCTTACTGCAACACTTTCAAATTTATAACCAGAAAATAGCTTTCACTCATGATTTTTAGAAGCTTTAGTTCTGCCATCTGGAAAAATCATTCATTCATCCATACATCTATGTTTTCATTTGTTCTGAAATACAATTTTATCACCAGTGATACTATATGCCAGGTATCAGCATGGCCATGTGAACAAGCTGATTCTCCATTAGTACAGCCACTCTTGTACCAATTTCTTTAACTTTCTTGACTCTCTATCTTGACTTTGTCCTCACTGATATTTGTATGCCTGGTCTGTCCTCATCATTCAGTTCTCAGCTCAAATTTCATCTCCTCAAAGGTATACCATTGGTCATAATATCAAAGCTAGTACATTCTCAATCTGTCATCTTACCTTATTGATTTTACTAAGGTAATTACCATCAGAATCTATAATATTCCTTCAGTTGTTTGTATAATTATTGTCCATATCCATGAGCAAGAATATAAGTTCCATGAGAGCAAGTGGCCTAGCCTATATTGTTCAGTGTTAGGTCTCCAAAACCTTGAAGAAAAAAAATGTAGTGAGTAAATAAACAAATCCTAGTTGGAAATGGATATAGATATTTATCAAATAATAACATATAACCATAAAACTCAACAATGTTAAGTTCTACAAGATAGTTGAAAATAGTTTTGCGAGCGTGTGTTGTAGGAAAGTTTAACCATGTCAAAGCCAGTTTGAAAAATACCAAATTAACCCAGCCATATGAAGGACTCTTACCCTTATCCATAAAGCTCGAGAAAAGGCTAGTTGAAACATACATTGTTGAGCGAAAAGGTTACTTTGGTTACAGTGTGAAAACTAGATCAGGGTGTGGATGAGTTTCTGGAGACTGGTCTACACTTCACACAAGAGATCAGGGGATATTAGTGAAAAAGGAGATCAGAAGAACAAATTTGACAAGGATTTAGGGGGTAAAAATTATCTAAAGTTGGCCATGCATTGTATATGAAAACAAGAGGTTGCAACATACAACTTATCTGCCCTGAACAACTGCATGGATGGTGGTGACACGCTGAAGTGGGAGCCTCTGGAAGAAGACCAAGTTTAGTGGGTAAAAAGATATGCTGTGCTGAGTTTGAGGTATCCTTGAGATATCTGAGTGGTGATTTTGAATAAGCAATTGAGTATATAGGTCTCCAGTTCAAAGGCAAAGTCTGAACTGGAGAGCTAGAGTTTGGGGTTATCTATAATGGAAATCACAGATGTGGGTGACATCACCTGGAAAAATGAGTTTTTACTTCCTTTCTCATCCAATTTAGATGGCATTCTCCATCATTATAACCATTCTTGTACTTTTTTAAAAACTTTCTTGCCTCTCTGTATTTCTATGATGCCTGCTGAGGGAATTCTGGATAGATTAATCTGTTTCACTTCTTCACTCCTAAATAATACTGGAGAAAACCAACAATCTTGCAGATTGTTGCCTTTATAGATTCATGGGTATTTAATATCAATTGACCTTTAATGGTAATCAGCAATTCTTCCTTTTGCTCCACTCAAGTATATATCTAATTTTCTGCAGAAACTATGTTAAGCCTTCAGCATTTATACTAATCCCATCATTTACCACTCTCAATCTCAGTAAGTAACTCTGTTCCTTGAGTTGCAGGGAAATCAAGAACAAAACATTGAAATTGTTGAACAGAAAATTTCTCAATCTCCTATCACCAATTTTACAAACTCTTAGATGCAACATAAGATAGAACTTGAGAGTATAGGCTTTAAATTCAGACAGGTGGTTGTTTTTGGAAAAGTACATAATATTTCTGTGCCTCAGCTTTTTTGTCTGTGAAATGTACACAATCCTAATATCTAATATGAAAGGAGATTGCATGATTGAATGTACTAGAGCAGTGGTCTCAAATTTGAGCAAGTATCACAGTCACCTAGAAATCCTGTTATAGCAAAGAGCCTCATTCTTAGAATTTTGCAGAATGGCCTTTCTAACAATTTCCTAGGTGATGCTGACACTGTAGCACAGCAACAAAAAAAATATTTTCAGAACCATTGATCTAGTACATGTGAAGATTTGGAAATGTGGTTGCACATGATAAGCATTCAAAAAATTTTGCCATCTATTTATCTATATATATATATACACACATATATATATACATACACACATATATATACACACACATGCATGTGCACACACACACTCTTTCTATATTTCAATGATAATTGCAGTATTACCCACAATCGCCAAAGTACGGAATCAACCTAAGCATTCATCAGTGGATGATTGGATAAAGAAAATATCACATATACCTAATGGAATATTATTCATTTATCCTTTATAGAGAAGGAAATTATATCATGTGTGACAACATGAATGAAATTAGAGGTCATAATGCTAAATGCAATAAGTTAGGCACAGAAAGACAAATACTGCATGATCTCACTTATACATGGAATCTTAAAAAGTTCACACTCATAGAAGCAGAAAATAGAATGGCAGTTGTCAGGGGCTGGGTGGCAGGGAGCTGTTGGTCAAAGGGTACCAAGTTTCAGTTAAATAGGAGGAGTCATTTCTGGAGATCTATTGTGGTTATAGTAAATAATAATTTATGATATACTTGAAAAATATTAAAAGAATAAAATTAAAAATTCTCACCATAAAAAATGATATGTGCTGTGGTCCAAATGTTTGTGTTCCCCCAAAGTTCATATGTTGACACCCAAATTCCAATGTGATAGCATTAAGAAGTAGGACCTTTTGGGAGGTGATTCAGTCAGGAGGCAGAGCCCCCATGAAAGGGACGGGTGCCCTGATGAAAAAGGCCCACGGCAGCTTGTTTGTTCCTTCTGCCATGTGAGGACACAGCAAAAACGCACCATTTGTGAAGCAGAGATTGAGCCCTCACTAAACATGAAATCTGCCAGAGCCTTGATCTTAGACTGTCCAGCCGCCAAAACTGTAAGCAATAAATCTCTGTTGCTTATAAATCACCCAGTTTAAGGTATTTCATTATAGCAGCCTGAATGGATTAAAACTATATGTGAGGTAATTGATGTTAATTAGACTGATTCAATGATCTCACAGTATATACCTATACCAAAATACCACTTGGTATGCCGAATATGTATACATTTTTTATTAGTCATTTGTACTTTAGTAAAGGGGGATGGGTTTTTGTAGGTAAATAAACATAATGGAAATGGGGAATTTATAGAACATTTATGTATTTTTACCACAGGAAAGAAATGAGGCAAGAAGTGAAAGTGTGCAAGTGAGACTCACCTGTACATTCACCACACCCTAGATTCCCTTTGAAATGGAGACTATTGTTTAGGCTAATAACATGTAATGGACAAAAAAAAGTGCACCACATCAATGATATATATATGAAAAGCAAAGAAACTCAAGGTCTAATTAGGTTCACTTTGGGAGAAAGTCTCAGGAGGAGTCAAGTTAAGACATATAAAAATGAATTAAGTTAGCTCAGAATACTTGGGAGCTCCTGGAAACTGCATATTTATTGTTTCCAACAAAATTTGTTTTTAACTAGTACTTATAAACATATAGTTGCCTATCAGCTTATGTCTTTAACTCTTCCAGTCAACATTGCTACCTGGGAGAAATCTGGGACTGAAAAATAGAACAAGTTCATTGGCTGGGTGATTACCATTATTTAAGTTACCAGTTTGATTCCTTTGCCTGGGAAGGTTGGGTCCCATTGCACATTTACAAATCACGGATTTGTGATTCACAAATTCACAGATCCTGTATGGTTTCAGACTTGCATGTCTAACTGATTGCTACATAACTCTGCTTGAATATTTCAGGCACTTTAAACTCAATATTTACAAAACTGAACTCACCATCTTTCCCTACACCTACTTTCCTACTTTTGTTTTCTATCTTAGTAAATGAAAACTTCCTCAACACAGTTGCTGGTATCAGAAAACAAGACAGTAATTTTCTTTCTTTCCTCTTCCTCAATCTATAATCTCTTCATCTTATTAATAATTAATATATTCTATTGAGTCTGCCTCTTACATTGTTAAATCAATTTATCCACCGTTTACAACTTACTTTTCCAAGCTATCACCATCCTTCCTGTAATAGAAGAGATTATATTGTCTGATGTGGACATGCAATGGAGAGAAAAAAGTCCC